GTTGTCTAACACGTTAAAGCGCAGAACCTCACGCGTCATACTTTACACATCAATTGCGTCTGCACCCACCAGGGTGAGATACATCCCCCCTCCTCCCTCGCAGACACACATAGAGGAAACTCCTTCGGTGTGGGTGTTTAAATCAAAACAAACGCCGATGAGTCATCTCTATGTGAGCCTCATCAGTGTTCTGCTGCTGGAGCAGAGAGAGGTACAGGGTTAGCATGGTGGCTAGCTTTCTCAGGTTTTCTCGATAGGATCCTCTCGATAGCTCGCTGTCTTGAATTTGTTCATGACAGGAGTGGACTGATGAGGAAAAGGAGCTGACAGATGAAGCTTGTCATTTTACATTTTTCTCTAGGCAGTGGGGAAAAGATTATTCCTAAAACGGGCCCAATGTGTCCATTTGAAGACTGTCTTTAAAATGTAAACTATCTCTCATGAATAAGGCTAAGCTAAATGCTAATGTCGCTATTTTAAAAGGTGGGAGAGGAAAGTATGAAGAAAACATCACTGACAAGTACATTTTAGTATTTGTACTAACACATTATCTTTATTACCCAACCTCTACTCCACTTCATTTCCTAGACAAGTTTTGATTCCAGAACATTTGTCTCACAGCTTTAGTTGAAGTAAGTACAAAACAACATCATCTTTTATACATTTAAAATTCCCAGTGGAACAAAAAGTAGCTAAAATTAGCCTAGCGACTACCGGCTGAAGCTACTTAGCCATTAATGCATCATTAATATTTAACCGGTTTACATAAAAATACTCTGAAGCCGATTATGACTTTTTTGCTGATAAAAAGTATATTTTGGAAAATGCAGGACTTTTATTTAGAATTAAAATCAGAAATAAAAAACTTAAAGGACTCCGGGAGTATTTGTGTTACATTACAGTCGGAAATATATATAAGTAGAGAAGTTAGAGTACAAATGTGGGTATTATACTACGAGACATAATAACATAAATGCTGAAAATTGAGACAATAATTAAGTGTTTAAAATGCAAGAAAATATAATCTATATGTTCAGAATGAATATTAATGCCAGAGAGTAGCCTATTGCACATGTTATTGAAAGTTGCTTTTAATATTGCAGATATTGATTTTCTTTAACAGTGCCAAACTGATATTTTTTATACACTAATATAACAACCCCTATACTTTGACCAAAAACATGCAGAAATGTTTCTGAATTTTGATCAAGGTATAATACAGTATCCGAGTTGGACAGTGGATTCTGTATTGAGTGGCTGGTCAAATCTGAAAATGCACTAGCCATTTAGTCCCTGAATAAAAGGTAATTTTGCATCCTGCTTACAAACAAGCTTACAAAGAACATTTGTATTAGTTACATGTCGTGCCCTCAAGTTAGACAAATATCATTGTTGTAATATTTTAAACTTTGTTTGTTGTTGATATTTTTGACTTTTCGGTGCTACTATATCAGTGGATGAAGAAGTATTCAGGTTTTTCACTTAAGTAAAAGTAGCAATACCAAGTTGTAATAATACTCCGTTACAAGTTATAGTACTGTATTCAAAATGTTACTTAAATAAAAGAGAAAAAATGTATCGGCATCAAAATATACTTCAAGTACCAAAAGCTAAAGTACTTTTTATGCGTCATGGCCCATTTCAGAATCATATATATTAATTTAATGGATTATGATTATTGATGTGTTGGTGTTTTAATGACAGCTGGTAAAGATGAGGCTAATTTAAATTATTTTATATACTAGTGCTGTACATTTTAACCTAGAATTACATGTCAGAGTTTATTTAAAAATGGATTTGTATTTTATATGAACTAATAATAAATAACTTTCTAAAGATGTAAAACATAGTGGACATTAGTGGAATAAAAAGTCATATATTGGCTTCTAAAATTGAAAGAAGTAGAAGTATAGAGTAGCATAGACTAAAAATACTCAGGGAAAGTACCTCAAAGATGTACTTAGTACAGTACTTGAGCAACTGTACTTTGTCACCATCCACCACAGTACTATACACAATTCATAGGCACCTCCACGGCTTAGATTTGGGTCAGACTGGGGACTTGTGTCGTCTTTGTACCAGTGCTAAACAATATAAATAACAGAATAATAGATTAGTACACAATGTAGCTGCAGGTGTTGCTACGTTGCTAAAATAAGCCTTTGTGCACAGACAAGACGGCACAGTAATATGAAAGATGAGAAACCAAGGACTATGGTGGCCAACCCCTGCCTCCACAGAGAAATAATATAAATAACACTTTGTCTACAAGATGTAGGTGAGGACAAATGTTAGCTATCAGCACCTATTTGTCTTACATCTGTGTACTTTTCTCTTTCAACTCAAGCTAGCAAAATAACGTCTTAAGGAAAATAATAGCACAAGACTGCTCAGATCAGCAAGAGAGCGATGAAGAGATAAAGGAGCCACAGTGAAGCCACTGTAAGCGTAGAGATTAATACTAGCCTCTCGCCTTTTTCTTTTAGTCGTAAGAAAATAAGATCTGGGCATACTGAGGGCCTAGGTCAGGAAGAAGGAGGGCTTCACAGGAGCAGGGAGAACTCTAGGAGATGTTGGTGAACAAACATTACATTACATTACATGTTACTTGTTAGTCGCTTTTATCCAAAGCGACTAACATACATACTCATGTGGCCACAAACGTCCATTAGAATGAATCCCTGAGCCCGTGTGGAAAAGGCCAGGAGACTCCTTTACAAAGAACGCATGCAGTAAGAGATGAAACAATTGTCCCTTAAGACTTTTGGTGCAATTGTGTACATTTGTCTGTGTCTTTATTCACTGATGACGAACAAAAACGTTTTTTTTCAGTTGATTATGACCTGAAACCTGCAGGAAAGCGGCATGTGTGGCAAATAATGAACACTCTTTTATTTCGATTGAACTGGTAGGTTTAAATCACTCACTCACATCTCCATGCGTTCTTTCCAAAGTGATTTAAAGCTTTAAATGATATTTCTAGTGTGGTGATTTCCTAGTTATCGCAATTTGAGATTGAGGTGCATGACATGTGAAATATGAAATTGTGTCTGTTCGTGTTCTTGTCTTGTCTGTCTGTTCCTGTCTGTCGTCACATACAACTTTTATATTTCTAAAAGTTGGCATTCCCGAGCCTGTGAGAGGGGGGAGTCATTGGTTTGCCGTGGGTGGAATGTAATATCACTGCCACATGCAGGATCTTTTTTTAGAACATGGTTTTT